TCTTCAATTGAAGAATTAGTTCAATTACAACAATTAAATTCATGTCTTGATACTGTTCCAGATGTATTAAATAAATGTATTAATGAAATTATTAATAAAGGATTAACTGAAGATGGACTATTTAGAAAACCACCAGACCAATACCAATTAGAAGAATTAATGAAAAAATTAAATGACAATGATTTTAGAAGTAAAATAAAATTAAAAGAATATCCTACAGGAACAATTTGTGGATTATTAAAAAGTATATTAATGGAAATGAATCCAAGATTTATTAATGGAGAATCATATAAATTATTTGTTGAAATATCTAGAAAGAAAGATCGTGAAGAAATGAGAAAACAAATTATATTATTTATTGATTCTTTAAATATTGAACATAGAAATACACTTGGAAGATATTTATTTTTGATGAATATTATTGCTATTAATAAAAGATTAAATAGAATGGGGGAATCTAATTTATCTACAGCTATATGTCAATGTTTTTTACCACAAAAAGATAATGTTGATTTAGCTTCTGTAGAAAATGACTCATTTGAATGTCTAATTAATAACTATGACTTGTTTCTTCCAAAAAAAATTGATAATCCAATTCAAATAGGTTCATTGACTGGTATTATTAAAAAACAAATAACTACGGAAGGTGTTGGTTCTTTATTATTTATACCACAAATTAATGAAATGTGGTCAATAGACAAAGTTGGAAATGTTGTACAAATTAATACAAATACATTACAATCAAATATTAGTAAAATTAATATATCGCTTCCTGATATTAAACATATAGGAACATATAAAAATTACATTTATCTTGGAACAACTTCTACTGTTCATATGATAGATATTGAAACTAAACAAATTGTCAAAAATTTAGAAACTAAAAGATGTAGTTTTATTACTATTTCAAATGAAATATTATTTATTGGAGAACAAAATGGTATTATAGAAGTTTATGACCCTCTTACATTAGATAAGATTAATGAAATAACAATAAAAATAGATAATAATTCTTTAATAACACCTATTACCTTAATTGCATTATCTCATGGTAATATTTATGCTTCACTTCAAGGTAAAAATGAAATTTACGTTATTTCTTATTCAACAGGAAAATTATTAAAAACATTTTCTACGTTCCATCATAATTCTATTGTTTGTCTTACTATTTGTGAAGAAAATCAAACATTATGGACTGGTGATTATAATGGAATGGTTTGTGTATTAGATTTAGACACTGGAATATTATTACAAAAATATGACTATCCTTTAACGTATGGAAGTGTTACATCAATTATGGTAATTCCAAAATATATAATTATTTCATTCATTTCAAGTCAAATATTAATTTTTAATAATGAAAATAATACTTTAGTTACTTCTCTTTCAACAAAGTATTTAATTACTTCCAAAGTTGCTTATGTGGTTCAAAGAAATTACAATGGAAAGTTGATGTGGAATATTTGGATGGAAAAAGATGATAATGGAGATATTGCAATAATGGATATTACTTATCCTATAGAAGACATTCCTACAGATGAACGATTAATATCATCTTTTTCCTATCTTGAGAATGAGTATATTGAAAAAACACCTTTAGGTCATTGTTTTCTTTCAATAAATTGCGAAGCAAAATGCTCTGTTTGTAGTGGTGCAATTAAAAATACTGAAGAATCATTTAAATGTTCTAATTGTAACAAATATATTCACCAACGTTGTTTAGAGAAATTCTCTAACACTTATTGTTCAATTCATTCACAACTTCAACCAGAAATTATCAACAAATCTAAATAACATTTATGTTTTATTAATTTTCTAACATTTTTTGTTATTTAATAGATTTTACTCTCTAATGAAAAAATTGATTTATTTTGTATTAAATTTATTCACTTTTATTTAATTTTTTCTCACAACTAAATAAATTTATTTCTTTGTTTCAAGTATTTTAACATAGAAAAATTAACAAAATAGATGACATTCAGTTATCAAAAATAACTCCTGTTTATTAACATATTTATATTTAGAACTTTGATTATTTATTTTAATCTATTTCTTTTTGGAATTTCTCCAATTATTTAAATTAATTAAATACTTATTTGTTAATCTTTTGACTTGTTAAAATATACTTTACTTAAGTTAAAGTAATAGTACAAAAACTACAATTAACAAAAAGAATATTTCAATTATTGTTTATTTTAGAAACTAATAAGTTACTTCTTTTGTTATATTACTCATTTGAAAATAAATAATCATTATTTTCACTCTTGCTATATTCTTACTAAATTAATAGACTTTGTTTTTAATTATTATTATTTTACATATGAATTATTTTGATTAATAAAAATTTCCTGAAGACAAACCAAAAAAAGACTATCTAACAACTCATAATATAAACTACTTAAATAAAGTTTATATAATATGAATATCCTTTTGTGTTAATGGGTTTATGAATTTTTAAACCAGCAATGGATTAGATTTTACAATTTTTCCATTTCTTATAAATAAATAATATTCTTTATTAATTAATAAATATCATCATATTAACTCAATAGAAGAAAATATTGTTAATAAGAGATAGAAAGAAATACATAATAATAGATATTAATATTATTTATAAAAAAAAAGATTATTTCCTAATAGATGAATAATACCAAAGAAGTTTTATTAATATTAAACCCTGCTGAAAAGAATATTCTTTTTCAATAGAACTATCAAATTTACTTATAATGCTTCTTATATTCCTCTGTTTCATTCTTTCAAACGCTTTAAAATGCTCTCAATTGAAAATGAATAAGGTTTATTCTGTTGAAGATGCATTTGAATGCATTAACTCAGCAAAAACAAACCCATTATTTAATACAAGAGTTGTAGAAGAAATAAAGAAAGAATTAGAAGGTTATGTTTATAAGGATATTCTTAAAAACCCACCACAACCATCTTTTGATGCCAATTATCATAAATCACTTGATCTTGATCAAGAATTAGCTTCTATTGATGTCAATTCAACAGAAAGCTATAATTTTTTCAGAAGTTTAACATCAGTAGTGTATAATGCACATGACCTTCATTTTTCATTAACTGCACAATCAGATTATGATGGGAATAATTTCTTAGTTGACTCATTTTATTTCATTCTTCCATTTGACATTGTTATTTTAAATGATAAAAGTGTCAAATTTGTATTAAAATCTACTAGTTATAATGTCACTGTTCCTGATGCTGTTAAAAATAATCAAGACATTTCTGTAAGTAAAATTAATGGAAAGAATGTTCTTGAATTTATTAGAGTCTTTGGTGAAGAACATGGAAGAATGAAGTCTCTACATGGTAATTTTGTTAGAGCCCTCAATAGTATTACATTTAGTTCATTAAATTCCATGACATTGTCAAAAGAAGAATTAAGTACTGTATTATCTATTGAGTGGAGTAATGGAGAAACATGTGATGTATCATATCAAATGTTATATATTCCTTTCTATTCCTTAAGCAAAAAGGCACAGTCAATTGTTAATAGAAAATTAAATGGAAATGATTATAGTCCTCTTACACTTGAAGATATTGAAGAAAGACATATTAAAAGAGAAGAAAAAACACCTTATGATCTTCAGTCACGAGATGGGATGTACTCATGTAAAGTAGATCAAGATCAAAAGATGAATATTTTCGTTTTGAAATCATTTTCTTTCAGTGATGAAGATCGTGAAAATTCTACAAAAACACTCGCAGAATGTATTCATTTGTTTGATGAGAACGAGTTTCCAATCAGTGTGATTTTAGTAAAGAATGGAGGAGGATATGTTGATTTAGGAATGGATCTTGCAAAAATTCTTTCACCAACTATAAGTTCTACTATCATTAGTAGTTTCCGAATTAGTGAACCATCTAAACAAGTTTATGAAGCTGAATACTATGAATATATGAATGATACAACTACTTGTAAACCAAGATATGATCCTGTAACTAACAAATATAATGGTGATTGGTATTCTCATCCAGATACTGTTTATTATGGTGATGTCAAACACGTAAAGACTCAAGCCTCATATATGCCAGCTTCAGTTATGGTAGATGCTTCTTTTATTCATCACCCAAGACAACCAACTGATATTGTTGTTTTCACTGATGGTTATTGTTATTCTACTTGTTCTATGTTTACTAAAACATTGAAAGAACAAGGAGGTGCTATCATAGTTGGATTTTCTGGTGATCCTGAAGGAGATTTAGATCACTTTGATGTTGGTCAATCACCATCTTCTGTTGTTGAAGGTACTGAATTAAATACAACTGAAGCACTTGAATTAAGAACAATGGGAATTCGATTGAGATTTAGTTATTGTGAAACTTATAAATTAAATTATCAATTTAATGAAACCATTCCAAGAGAATTTATTGTTGATTCCGTTGATGAAAGAGTTAATATTTATCAATTTAATGATAACAAATTAAATGAATTTACTCAAGAAGCACAAAAAATTATTAATAAATATAAAGAAGAATGTAATAGTAAGAATGATAGATTAGTATTGCTTTCTCAAGAGTGTGATAATAAATCTACTATTGAACATGGTCATGGTGGATTTAAATGTGGAAATGATAATAAGTGGACTAAAGAATGTGTTATTAGTTATTGTGATGAAGGTTATAAATTTGATAGAATCAATCAAAAGTGCATTATTGATGTTTGTTATACACCAGATAATAGTCAATCATCTACCAGTGACTCAAATGATAAAATCAAAGATGATGATATTATAATTTTTATTGTTGTTGGTTCAATTATTGGGATCTGTGTTATCGTTACATTAATAGTTTTAGTGATAGGATTGGTACTGTTCTGTGTTAAAAAGAGACACCATAAATCATCATATAACACATTACCAGACACTAACTAAATTAATTCTTTAAAATCACATTATGGTTTTTATTTCTTTTTAAGTCTTCAAAAAAAAATTAAATTATAAAAAACTCAAACCTCAAAAGAACTAATAAAATTATTTCTAATGGATTACAACAGAATGATAGGTATGCCTTATGGATTCACTCCGTCAGGTTCTGATAGAAAGAATATGAACGGATTTTATAATTCAAGAAATGGTTTAAAACAAGGTTTAGAAATTCATGGACCAAGACAAGAAGAAATAAAATTTGATACAAGTGGTTTTGCAGAAACAAATGGAGATGATTTTACACCAGACATTGAAATTTAAATTCACATTTTTATTTACTTTTTATTCATTTAATTTTAGTATTTTTTCCTATAATGAAACTATAAATTTTTATTAAAGTTCTTACATGAATAATACCATTGGAGGTCAATTAAAAATAATAGAAATAATTCATTTATTACAATGGCCTTATTGGAGTTGTATAAAATGTCTTGAAATGAAAAACAAAATTGAAAAAAAGCATTTATTACAATTTATAGAAGAGCGAGATAAAATGATACGTTTGTATATTAATATTACTGATTATGAGTTGTTAATAACATTTTTAATGTCATAGTTCTTTTATTCTTAGAAAAAAAGACTGATGAAATTAATGTTAATGAAACCTGTCAATCAATTATAAAAGACTTCCTCTTTGAATTAATTAAAAAAGACATTATCAAAGAAGAAGAGTATTTTCATTTTATGAATTTTTTATCGTATTATGAACTAGCAGTATTAAGGTTATGTAATTTTGATATATTTACAAGGGAAGTTGATGATGACTATCAAGAAATTATTGATTGGCTAAAAGAGAATAAAATTACTGTCATAAGTTCAAAAGATTCACACCAAAATATTCAGAAAGACTACATTGAAACAAATGAACTTCAAAACATATTGTCTTCATTATTTCTTTTTGACTTAAGTCAGTATTCTATGAAAACAATTATTTTAACTACTGTTTATTATCTTATTCAATACCGTGATACACAACAACTAGTTAAAAAAAGAATAGATGAAAATATTAAACAACATAAATATCATTGGGATGATATTGAGCAAATTCTTCAATTCATTAAACGTGGAAAGGAGTTAATGAAAAAGAAAAATGAAATTATCAAACAATATGTCTCTTCTTTTAAGACAATTATTAAATATGTTGTTTTCACTGTTTCAGATGAAAAATACCTTGATGAGTTACTTATTCATTATCCTCATCAACAATTTGATGTTTTAGAGTTTACAATTTACCAAATAGAGAAAAATGATAAAATTTATCAATTTTGGAAAATAAAAGAACCTTACCAAATGATTGATTGCTCTTTGATTTTAAAAACTGATGTTTATAGTATTATATTCTTAACAAAAAATAACAATAAAATTTTAAAAGAGTACTGTTATTTATGTAATGGATTTAATTATGTCCATTCAGTCTTTATATTATCTGCTTCTTCCCTCCCCCAAGAACTTAAATATGAACTTCAATCAGCAATTTTAAATAACTTCCCTACAAATAATTCATTTTTGAATTTTACTTTACAAAAAGATCTCCATATATATTTCAAAGAAATTAACTATTCGATCTCTACATCACTAATTAATACCGTTTGCATTTAAGTTAGTATTAATTTTTCTTTTATTTTTTCTTTGAATCTACATTCTTTATGAGCAAATAAATTCTAAATATTTAAAAAAAAAGAAATTATAATAGTGCTACTACTTAATAAAACATACACTCAATAATCTCACTGATTATGTAAATGATAAAGTTAATAATTTAATAAAAGACGTAATAGTATGAAGTAATTATAAATAAAGAAAAGATAAAGAAAAAGATGATGAAATATAAAAAAAAACGTAATAAGAATAAATTAAAATATATGGATAATAATATTAAAGAAATTGAAATAAATAAAATTAGAAAAAGTTAATAAGAAAATGAATTAATCAAATGTTTATAATATAAGAATCTTATTGTATCTGAAGCGTTATGGAATTAACTAATAACAATATTAAAAAGTTAAAATATAAATGAATTTATACAATTTAAAATATGAAATATTTAAAATACGATAATTCAAATATATAATAATTACATCTTCTTTTTTACTTTTAAAGTGTGTCACTATTCAATTTCAATATGTTTTGACAATGGATCAAATATCTAATTAATTATTCTAAATTCAAATCAGTAACTGTTAATAATTCATAAAATTCCAGTTAATAGATTATTGATTTCCTAACACTAAGAATATTTCTAATTACTTTATTAAATAAATAGTAATACAAATTGAAACAATTGTGAATTACACTACACTACAAGTGTATTAACTTAAATTTTATTTAAAACAAAAATAATTAAATATACTATTATTAAAAAATGAAGACAAGTTAATAAACAAAGTTTTTTTTTTAAATAATGAATAACTACTAATAAGGATTAAAAAAAGTGGATAATAACTATTTAACTAAATTTAATTCCTTCATAAAAGAAAAAAAAAACTTGAATCAAAAAGAAGAATCTTAATCAATCTAATTCTATTAAGGTTCTATTGGAAACAATAATTCAGAATTAATAAAGAATATACCAATTAATTAATCAAAACAAAGATTGAATAAATGATGTCTATTGAAAAAAAAAATAAAGAACTAAAATACAAACACTTTTCATAAATAAAAGAAAAAGGCTAACTTTAACATTAAATAAAAATATAATAATACAATTTCATGTTATTTCCGTTAATTTTAGAATCTTTTTTTTATTTATAATACAACTATCCATCTTATTTAACTTTAACTATAAGTAGATTATAATATATTAGAATTAATAATTTATTCAATTTTTTTATGTTGGAAATTCTTTGTTGACTATTTATAAGTAAACTTCTTGATTTATGTCTTTTTGGATTTCTTAAAACAAAGAACATTTAAAAAAAATAGAGTCGAAGGGTAAAAGTATTGGAATTTGTTAACCCAAAAAAAGAAGAGCAACGACATATTAGTCCTATCTTTTGCAATTGTTAGATTGGTAATAACTGTGAAATTAAGTATATAAGGAAATAAAATAAGCCAAAATGTTGAAAAAGAATCAATATTATTATTTATAAAAAATTATCCTTTATAAAAAGAAAAAAATGGAACTTCTTTTGTAGTACACAACACTTCATGAGCGTTGTTCATCTTGATTCTTCTGACACAAACTCTTTTTCTGTACCAATTGAAATACCAAAAGCCAAATACCAAATTTCTATTGATTCAATATCCTCATCATATGCTGAAGATGATGTGATAATAATTGATGATTATATACAAAATTCAAATAATTATCCTCAACGTCCAACAAACCCTTTACCATTTGAAAAAGAGTCAACTTTACCAGAAGAAGATAATCTTAATTCACCTACTGGAACTCCAATTTCTGAAACCAATAATCTTTATTCGCTGTAAATATCATTTTATCTATCAAAAATAATTTTATTTAAACTGTAATTGCCAAAAAAAACAAAGGCTTGTTAATCAATTGAAATAAGTTTTTTTATTGAATTGTTGTATTTAAAAAAAAATCCAATTAATTGATGTTATAAGAAAGCAGAATTAAGGAATGCAACAAATGCATCTCCACCATTATTATCTAAAGTAATCAAGTTTTGCTGAATTAATTTTAAAAATGAACGACGTACTCTATTAATTTCAGCAACTGAAACTTTTCTTGGAAGAACAACTCGAGTATTACTTTGTGGTACAACAATAGGATCACCTCCAACGAATGTTGGTGAATTAACAACTTTCATTACCACCCCAATAATGTCTTGAGTTACAGCATCAATTTGAGTTACAGTGGTACTACTTTCGACAGTGTCTTGTTTTACACTAAAATTAATTCTTCCAGTAAATTTATTAAAAAGAATTTCACAAATTTGTTTACAAGGTAGTTCTTCTCCAGGTTGAATATTAAATAATGGTTGATCCCATTTATGAGATGGTAATGGTACTTCATATCTTTCTATTAATTCTACAACCATTTCATCTGAATATTTCTCTTCTCTTTGAGCATTCCATTCAATACACTTTTCTTTTGGAGCAGTAACAGAAATAGTAACACTTGTTGATGCAATTGACTTACAATGGCATTTTAATTCATATCTGAATGACTTATTGTAATTTAATGAATCTAATATTACGATAGTCTCTCTATTTAAAAAACGTAATACCTGTCCTTTTAAAGCAGTTCTCATTCTATCCTCAGTTTGCATTGCTAAAAAGTGTTAATACCATTCCAATTTCTTAATCTAAACAAACTTTTATATGCTTCTTGTCGTAAAATTCCAAGACTTTCTTCATTAATTAACTCAACTGGAGTTTCTGGATAATTTTCATTGATGTATTTAACAAGTTGGTTTGCAAAAGTAGTTTTACCACTACAAGGATATCCACTTATTAACACAAATGGCATGGAATTAATTATATTTTAAAGTTCAGTTAGTAGGTTTAAACAAAAAGAAAAATAATAAAAAAGTAGCCTATTAATTCATTATCCCTCAATTTTGATTTTTTTGTCACAGAAATGAAGAACCGAATATTTAAATCAAAAACTCTTTTATAGAATCTGATTATAATTATGTATACATTAAAATATATCGAATATTCATTATTCTTTCAAACAATTAAAGTAATAAAAGAGAAGTTAAATGAATATTCATTTATTCTTAGCATCTCTGAATGTCTCGCTACAATAATATAGTGAGAAAGGTATATGCTTAAATTTACTGATTAATAAGTTGACTTAGATGAGTTTAAATATTTTAGGTTAACTAAACTATATTTATTTAATTTCAAAGTTACTAATTTAATTATTAGAATTATACTATAAATGATTTATATTTCTTTTATTTTCTTAATCATTCATTTGTTGTTATTAAAAACAAATTTTTTTTGACTATTAAAAGTTTCAGACTAACTAGAACCTCTACAACTACTGTTTGTTTTGAGAACGTATTTTTAAGAATATGAAAATGTAATAATAAATTAATAAAGTGATATTGTATTATACAAATATAATTAGTTTAAATAAAGGTGTTTATACAAATTAAATTGTAGTTCAGTATTTATCAAAAAATTGAGTGTAGTGTCTTCTATTTTTAATTTACCAATACTATGCAATTAAATGCTTTGTTTATATGGATATTTTTAAGTTATAAAAGTAAATTAGTCTTTCAAAATATTATCTTAGTAATCTTGTATTAAATTATAATGCGGTTCATTAAGAAATATACTTTATTTTAGCTAATTAACATCTATTTATTATTAGATAGATAATACACTAATTGGTAGAGTGGATGAAAAAGACAAAGACATGGAATTTTTTGTTTATTTCTATTTTAGTATTGTTTTTTTTAAACAGAGTCTTTTATAATTTATGATGACTACTAGTCACAACACTTTTTACAATTTCTTAGAGTGTTTATTAACTAAAAAGAAGAAGAAAAGAAGAGAGTTAATAAATAACCAAAAATAGAATTTATTTAATTTTTTTTTACTCTTCTTTGTTATATTGGTGATTCTTTTTCTTTTCATTTCTTATCATCAGTTAAACAAAAACAAATACACAAAAAAATAGAATTGAGAGTATAAGAGAAATGAGATCAAAATAAAGTGTAAATTACTTTAAGGTAACTAAGTCAGAAGCAAATTCTAAAAAGGTTTTACATTGTACAGATGTTGTATTGATTATTAATTTTGATTCTTTATTAAATTGACTGCATTTCATAAATAGTCCATCTGGTGTTTTAGTAATAGTTATAAGAGAGTAATGGTATGGATTTAATTTTCCCTGAGAATAAACAATAAAACGTTTCTCAGCAAGAACCCAAGTTACAGGTCCATTTGAGATATAAGAAGTGATTATATTTCCAAGATTATCTTCTCTCATTTTTCTTGATAAGAATGCTTCATTTCTATCATATGGCTTTAACGAATACTTTGGATTAATTGTTCGGATGTCCCTAATTCGTTCAATTTGCATTTTACCAGTACTTGCCCTAACACCATCAGCTGTCTTTGTGACAAGATCAATTGTACCTACAATTGGTTTAGTAACAAGTCCAACAAATCCTTTGCCAACTCCACTAATAAAACCAGTAATTCCTCCATCAATAGCCCCTTTAATTGGTTGATATACTACTCCTGTAATTCCTTGGAAAACTCCACTTGAGAAAGCAACAAATCCTTTACGAATTCCATCTCCAGTACTTTTAGCCCGTTTATCAGAATTACGTTTTTCAATATAGGCTTTATCAAAACTAAATGATGCAACAAATGTCGATACAGAACCAGTTATACCAGAGATTGATGATGCTGCTCCATGAGTTGCGTTTTGAGCTAACGAAGAAACACCATTTATCATTCCTTTTCCAAATGAACTCACTGAAATAGTTAACCCTTGTGCAGGTTCATAAAAGAAATCATGACAACCAGTAGAAATATCATTCAATAGCCCTCTTGGATTACCTAAGAATGAAGAATATGCAACAAGAAGAATTGCTTGATTAATAATTTGTTTATAATAATGTTCAACAAATATTTGTTTTAATGAAGATAAATCACCGTTAACATTCTTT